AACTAACCCAGCACGCATTGCCTCAGCTAGCCGTCGAAAAAGAAAAGAGGGCAGCGGGCGCGCAACAGGCGCAGCTCTCGCCGCCCACCTCTGCTCCGAGCCCTCTCCATGTGAACCGCCCCGCGTTGAGACAGGCCCCGTCTCTCAGAGAGGCCCGCATTCGCCAGTGCCGAGCCCTGCCACGCGAGTCGCCCCACGGCGGGGGCGACCCCGTCCTTCTGCAGTCCCGCGAAGAGAAAATGCCGAGCTCCTTCCACGTGAGCTGCCCCACTTAATGGGCGGCCCCGCCTGTCAGAAAGGCCCGCCTCGCCCCGGCCCCCGCCCCAGCCTCGCTTCCGCCGCCAGCAGGGAGCTCGAGCGAGCGGCGGCAGCAGGCTGCCGCGCGCGGCTCTCCGCCACGAGCTCGCCCCACATCTCAGAGCGCTAGTAGACCGTGGGCATGCCTTTCGACCCTTTGCCTCGCCAGTCGGAGCTGCCGTAAGAGTCGCGTGATTTGCTCTTGCGCTTGCTGCTGGGCCCCTCTTTGCTGCGCGGACCGCGGCCGCCGCTGGAGTCGGGGGGTCGTGCGCTCCGCGCTCTTCCCCTTGCCCTCGGCCTGGCCCGCGGTCCCATTCTTGCCGCGCGAGCTTGACGTCGCCGCGGCAGTCGTCGACGCCGCAAGTGTCCGGCTGCCAGCCGCGGGGGCGTCGGGGCCAGCCTGGGCCGCGAGCCGCGAGCTCGTCGGGGCATCGACCACCCGCCCGTCGGCGGCCCGAGAAGCGCGCGCGGGGAGAGACAAAGCATCGGCTACCCGCCCGGCGGCGGCTCGTCTCAGCATCCCGCCGCCGCGGCCCTCGGACTTGCCCTTGCACTTCCGTCCGCCCACCTCCGCGACGGCGCCGAGGAGGCGGCGTCGGCAGACGAACGGGCGATGGGATGCCGCGCCCCGCAGCTGGGCCCGAGCCACGATCATCCGCGCCCGAGCAACACCCTAGTCCAGCACGGCCCTGATGCGTGCCGCGCAGCGGGCCGCCGCAGCGCCTCTGCGGGCGACGCGCGCCTCGACCCTGGCTCGGAGTCCGCGAAGCCGCAGACGGCAGGGGCCGAACTGCTTGTCCTTGCGGCCCTTGCGGGCCAAGCGTCGCCGAGGGCGCCGCGGGCCCTCACCGCCTCAGGTAGTACACGACCCTCTGCAGGTAGAGCACGATCGCCGATGAGGGGGTTCTGCCGCTCGTCGCCGATGGTCTGCGCCGCCTCCAGCTCCACCTGCGCTCCGATGGCGCTCACCTTCGCCACGGGCATCGAGAGCGGCATGCCCTGGTGCCCCACGGTGCTCACCTCCTCGTAGGGGTCCTTCTGCTCGTCGCCGATGGTCTGCGCCGTCTCCAGCTCCACCTGCGCTCCGTTGGTGCTCACCTCCGCCACGAGCATCGAGAGCGGAATGCCCTGGCGCCCCACGGTGCCCACCTCCTCGTAGGGGTCCGTCTGCTCGTCGCCGATGGTCTGCGCCGTCTCCAGCTCCATCTGCGCTTCGATGGTGCTCACCTCCGCCGAGCCGCTCATCTCGCCGCCCTCGGCGGCGCCGACCGCGCCCTGCAGCTCCGCGGAGAGCGCGGGGAAGGCGGGGATCTCGGGCAAGCATTCCAGCCCGATCGCCCGCTCCCCCACGGCTCCTGCCCTCGCCGCGGCGTCCAGGGGCGCCGTTTCCACCTCCGCGATGTGGTGCACGACGCCGTCCACGCCCGCCACGCCCCAGGCCAGCCTGGGGCCTGCCGCCGCCTGGGCCAGGGCCGCGCTGGTGGCCCCCGCGAAGCCGCCTGGGGGCGCTCGCGCCGCATGCCACGCGGCGTTACGCCTGCGTCGTGCGCCCCCTGGGACCCGCAGCCCCAACGCCGCCAGCCGAAGCGCGGGGCGCGCCGCCGCCTCGCGGTCCCGCCATGAGCTTGACGCGCACCGAGGCGGCACGTGTGCACGTACCGCGGCCTCGCATGCCGCCCGCCGGGCCCTCGCCGCGCGCCGTGCGCCGGAAACCCTCAACGCCAGGATGTCGTTCGCCCGCTGCTCCGAGGGCCACCACGCATTCGGGCCGCCCCCCGCAGCCATTCCCGCGCCGCCGCGGACAGGCGCCCCGCGTGCCCGCCCCCCCGGCGCATAACCGCTTGAGCCAAAATGGCTTGAGCCAAAATGGCTACGGGAGGAGGAGGAGGAGGAAGAGGAGGAGGAGGAGGAGGAGGAGGAGGAGGAGGAGGAGGAGGAGGAGGAGGGAGGAGGAGGAGGAGGAGGAGGAGGAGAAGGGAGGAGGAAAAGAGAAAAACGAAGATGTTTAAACGATGCTGCGATACACCCTCCCATGCCGAGTGCCCCCCTATCCACTGTGGGAAACAACGCCTTGAAGACGAATGCCCGTCACTCAGGCGAGACCCCCGTTGTGTAAAGGATCCACCTTCCATCCTTCTAGCTGTAGCACATGCAGACAGGGAGTGTCGTAGAATTCAAGGAAGTGTCCGCCGATAGCTCCGAGTGCCATCCATCCATGTGAGGGCTGCACAGAAGTTTTTGATATGAGCCCGTGGGAGCCTCAAGCGAGAGCCCCACTTTAACAAAGAGCCGCTCCATCTTCGTAACGGGCAACCTTGTTATGACCCCGGGTCCTGACGTTGCCATCGCTAGGACGTCCATGGTCTGTGCGTTTGTCTGTGTCGTGCGTGGTTTTTGGGGGGGCCAGATGATCCAGGATGCTCCCCCGGAGCCGTAGGCGACCCGAGGAGGAGGAGGAGGAGGAGGAGGAGGAGGAGGAGGAGGAGGAGGAGGAGGAGAGGAAGAGGAGGGGGAGGAGGAGGAGGGGGAGGAGGGGAAGGAGGAGGAGGAGGAGGAGGAGGGGAGGAGGAGGAGGAGGAGGAGGTGGAGGAGGAGGAGGAGGAGGAGGACGGGTCGCCTAAGCCCTTCGGAGAAACCCTCCAAGCAGTGGAGGCGGCGGAAGGAGGAGCGGAGCAGCGAACGCTCCATCGACGCAGGGGGGCCCAGTGCAGAATGCTTGGCACACACCCGAGACATCGACAGGCGGTTTCGCCGCCTGCGCATGAGCATCGTCGAACCGATCCCCATCCCCGGCGGCGTGGCCTGGGCCCCACTGGCCGGTTCAATGCCCCAGATGGGGATACAGGCCGTCCCCTTCGGGTTTCGAGGGGTGTCTCCCCAACTGGGGCGGCACTTTGGCGGGAGTCTCGAAGGGGATGAGGATGGGGATGGGGATCGGTGAAGCGGTGCCGAGCGCAGGGCCCCATTTTCGCATGTGAAACGGCGCGAGCTCTGAAGCGGAACCGGGCCGCGGGAAAGGACGGCATGCCAGCTGAGTTCTGGAAGGCCGCGTGCGTGGCTGAGACGCCAGCTTGCCAGTGGGCCGTCTTACGTTGCAACTGGTGTTGGCTGGAAGCAGACGTTCCCGAAGCCTGGCACGAGGCTGTCGTTTCTGCAATATTCAAGAAAGGCGATTCTTCTGACTGTGCAAATTATCGACCCATATCCTTTCTGCCGATTGGGTACAAGTTGTACGCAATGATATTGTTGTCGCGACTGAAAAAGGCAAGGGCCGAAGAACGCATATGGACCACTCAATTCGGCTTCCGATCTGGCCGGGGAACAGCGGACGCTTTGTTCATCGCCAGATGTTTGATCGAGGACACGTGGGACTCCGAAGCAGGCAAGCTGATTCTCCTCGCGCTTGACTGGGCGAAGGCGTTCGACAGCGTGTCTCCCGATGGCTTGGTGCAGGCGCTCGTCCGCTTCGGTGCCCCCGAGAAGTTCGCATCGGCGGTCAAGGCCATATATACTAATCGGAGCTTCTGCGTGCGCGACGCGGGGTCCATGTCCGACTCAAGGCCGCAAGCGTTCGGGATATCACAGGGATGCCCGCTGTCGCCTTTTCTCTTCTCGATCGTGATGACCCTGCTGATGTTCGACGCGACGCGCAGCATGCGCGGCAGAGGCATTCATCAAGATGGCTGGCTGCACCTGAGCGAATTGATCTACGCCGATGACACATTGATTGTTGGTGTGACAGAGGAGTACGTCCGCTATCTCATGGAGAGCATCAGAGAGGCCGGCACCAATTATGGCTTATGTTTTAATTGGGGCAAGCTAGAGGTAATGTCAGGTCGTTGCCAGACACAGCTCCTACGCCCTGACGGTCAACCGATCAGCCAGAAGGATAACATGGTGTATCTTGGGGGGCTGCTCCACGCAGGCGGGGGGAGCGGAGCTGAACTCAGTCGGCGCATCGGCATGGCCCAGAAAGATTTCGACACGCTGTGCAGACTGTGGAGGCGCGCAAAGATATGTCTGCCCAAGAAGGTCATGATGTTCGAAGCCTGTGTCGTGTCCAAGCTGATGTACTGCCTGCACACCCTCTGGTTGAACCAGGCAGAGAGATCGCGACTGGACGCCTTCCAAGCTCGGTGCCTGCGAAGAATCGCTGGAGTCCCTCACTCCTATCTCAGCCGGGTGTCCAACGCAGCCATGCTGGAGAGGTGCGGCAGGAATCGTCTGACATCCAGTTTAGCTTGCAAGCAGCTCGAACTGATTGGAAAAATCGCTTTCCTACCAGACGACAGTGTCACGCGACGAACGGTATTCCAACCAGGGTCGTTCATCCTAGCCCGCCCTTTCGGGCCCCGGAGGCGAGGCAGACCGAGGAATTCATGGAAGCGCAATGTGTTTGACTTGGCCTGCGCAGCGGCCGGTGGCCGAGACGCCTTGGAGGAGCTGTGGCGGCACAGACCTGGAGACTGGCGCGGAGTCGCAAGGCGCTTCTCTTCGCAGCTGTAGCATTCAGCAAATATGGATGGTTTGCCTGAATGTGGAGTGGAATGTCTCTGCTTACGGGGTGGTGGGAGAGCCACTCACATGAACTGAAACAGCGTGAGCAGTGAGCCTGCCAGTGCTGTTTCCTCCTCGCCCTCCTCCTCGCCTTCGTCCTCCTCCCCCTCGTCTTCCTCCCCCCCCCTTCGCCGCCGCCGTCGTCGCTGTCGGTGTCTGCACGGCGTCTTCTTGTTTCGCAGCCGCGCCTCCGGCAGCGGAACTTGCTGTTTCACTTATTTGCCAACGCACCTCTGACGTGCACGGCGCTTCTCTTTCTGGGCGGCGCCTTCTGCGCCATCCCCAGCGCGATCCGCGCGAGAGGGAAGAGGGCCACTGTTGGCGGAAAATGTGTTCGCGGTCGTCTGGCGGTCATGCTCATGCGCTTTGTACATGCACACACCGTCCCTCCTGTAGAAGGGCCTTCGGGCGACCTGCAGTCAACCCGTACAATGTACGGACGCACGATAAGGATGCAAGGGCCTCGGAAGGTCATGTCAACACTTTGCGGGCGGGGCGCGGCCAGCGAAAGTGGCCAAGGATGGGCCGAAGGGGAAGGATGCGAGGGTAACCTTGGGAATTCGCTCATTGTTACTATGCGGGTTGACTGTGGAGACTTCGACGAGCCCCAAACCTCCTCCCAGGGGCAACTACTCACCACGACCACCCCTTGCCGGGCCGTCCTGGGCCCCGGGTGGGGCTGTAGACTCTCCCAGTCGAGGCAAGGTTGCACACGCAGTCCCAACTTCGCGCTTCGCGCTGCGCGAAGCGCGAAAAGCGAGTAACTTCGCGCTCTCGCGCCGCCTCCCACGGAAGAAGAGGAGGATGAGGAGGAATCGGAGCCGAACCGCGAAGCGCGAACAGCGTCGCGCCCTCGAGGGCGCCCTTGAAGACTGCCCCGGCCAGGGATGGCGGCGGCGCGTAGCTGCCGCTCCCGCATCCCCCCGGCTGCGGCCGCGGACGAAGCTCGCGCGGCGCAGGCCTCCTCCGACAAGTGTAGGATCGAGTGGCTCCCGCCCCCTCCCCTCGCGGCCGAACCGCAGGCCGCAGCCAGCGGCAGCCCGAGGGCCTCCTTGGAGATCCTGGCGACGCCTTGGGCCACAGGGGCACCTCCGGCAACACCGGGCCCTCGCAGCAGCGCCGCGGCTCGAGTCGCTGACTCTCCCGGAGCCGGAGGCGCCAGTGCAGCAAGGAGAGGGCCCCGCGGCGGGGCCGAGACCAGCGGCGTGCCAGACGAGAATGGGGAGGAGGAAGAGGAGGAAGAGGAGGAGGAGGAGGAGGAGGAGGAGGCGGAGGAGGAAGAGGAGGAGGAGCAGGAGGGCGGAGGAGGCGGAGGAGGAGGAGGGCGAAGGAGGAGGAGGAGGAGGAGGAGGAGGACCGACCCGACTCCCCCTCTGGGGAATACAAGCGATACCGATACCGCTGCTCCCCCGGCCTCTCCTGGGGTGCGTTCCGACCAGAATCTCAAGGCGAGTCCAGCGCGACGGGGGCCTCCTAGGAGGCCCCAACAAGCGAAAACGAAGAAAGTGTGGCGGTCCTCGTCCTCTTCGGGGCCCCCACACGGTGGTGACCACACCGTGTGGTGAGCCCGTGGGGATTCGGGGTCACTGCACGGTTGGGACTCGGGTCGTTCTCCGAGGACGTCTCGGGCGACTGGGGCATCCGAGGTCCCAAAACCGTGCGTTTGACGGACCGTGCGGCAAGGTCTTGAGGGATTTCGAGGTCACCCCACGGTCTGTCACCGCACCGCTTCAGGACTCCAAAACGACGCCCCAAGACAGCTCCAAGATGGCCCAAGCGCCACCTTCGGCGGCCCGAGTTTGCGTTCCAGGCGGCCCCAGCAGCGCCCAGGTCGCTCTCGAAGGCTCCCAGCGGACTCCTGGACGGGCCTCGACGGGAGTCCATCGACGATTCCTGTGGTTCTTGTCGGTGATTTCCATGTTCTCTCTTTTCTCGTTTCCCGCACGCCCGAGACGTCCCAGGACTCCTCTTCCGATCCTCAGAGACGACGATAGGGGCGCATGCCCCAGGGAGAGCAAGACATGTATCCAGGTGCGCCGATGATCTGTGTCTTCGACAAGGCTCCCGGGCGAAGACGTGCAACGCCCGCCCCTGGGCTGTTCGCCCCCATCGTCGCCGCCGAGATCTTACCAGCCTCGAACGTATCCATATCCCCAAGATCGACACGCCAAAAGGCGATGACAATCTTAGGGATCCGCCCCAAAAAAATCTAAGGAATCCCCGAGATTGGCATCGTGAGGAGGAGGTGCCCAGCATAGGGATAGGGACATGCTCCAGGCTGGACCCGGCCATCGCGTGCCCCGGGGGGCGCGCCCCTGCCCGTCAGCTCGCGGCGGCAGCGTGCGTCCTGGCTCGCGCGCGTGCGCGGGCGCGCGGGGCGGCGGGGCGGAGCGGCATGTGCAGAGGGGGCGCGAAGGGGCACAGCGGAGAGGAAGGAGGGGGAGGGGGAAGGGGGGGACGGGGGACGGGGAAAGAGGAAGAGGACACCAAGCATCAGAATAAGAAGGAAAAAAGAAGATGAAGACGAATCTGGATAATACGACTAACAATGATGAGAAACTTAAATAATAATGACACATACGAGTAGTAATACTACCAATAATAATGCGAATAACGCCAATCATCACAATTCCGACCAACAGAAACAATCATACCCACAATGGCGACACTGACCAACAACAACAATACTAATAATGAGTATAATCATTATCACCATACGAAACATGATTATCATGAACATGTTCATAATAACGATACATATAAGAACTATAATGTTAGTGGATCATAGTTGGTGATGATGCTGATGACTATAAATAATACCGGACAAAACAAAAATCCGATTTTTGTTGGGGCAATGAGGCTATAGGACTATAGGGCTACAGGGCTATGGGGTTACAGGGCTATATGTTCTATATGGTTATCGGGGTGTAGTGCTGTAGGGCTGTAGGGCTATTGGGCTATAGGATTATAGGGCTATAGGGCTATAGGGCTGTAGGGCTCTAAAGCTATAGGGCTCTAGGGCTATAGGGCCATAGAGCCGTGGAGCTATAGGGCTATTGGGCTATTAGGCTATAAGGCTATATGGGCTAGATGGGCTATTGGGCAATTGGGATATTGGGCTATAGAGCTATAAGGCTATAAGGCTACATGGCTATAGGGTACCAGGGCACCCCCGGGCACCTCCGGGAACCCCCGAGCACCCGGGCACCTGGGCACCCACGGGCACCTGGTCACCCGGCACCCGGCCACCGGCCACCGAAATCCTGGGGCACCTGGCACCCACGGGCACCCGGGCAGCCGGGCACCTGGCCACCGGCCACCGAAATCCTGCCGAACAAATCCTAACCCTTCAGAATCCGCTAGGACCCCTACAGAGGCAAGCTCTGATCGGGGAATCATCGTGTTGAAAGAAGAATTATAATTTTGATATCAATAACCAACATAATCACCACCACCACCATCATCATCAGCATCATCAGCAGCAGCATCATCATCATCATCATCATCATCATCATCATCATCATCATCATCATCATCATCATCATCATCATCATCATCATCAGCATCAGTATCAGCATCATCATCATCATCATCATCATCATCATCACCATCACCATCACCATCCATCAACCATCACCATCAATCATCGTCACTCATCATCATCAGCAGCAGCATCACAAACAACAACAACAACAGCAACAACAACAACAACAACAACAACAACAACAACAACAACAACAACAACAACAACCAACCACCACACAACACAACAACAACAACAACAACAACAACAACAACAACAACAACAACAACAACAACAACAACATCATCATCCTCAGCATCATCATCATCATCATCATCATCATCATCATAATCATAATCATCATCATCCGCACCATCGCCATCACGATCATCATCCGCAACATCATCATCACAATCACGGTCATAATAGCAATATCGAGCGAAGGACAAGGGTGAAGAGTATATACGGGAGTACGGACAATGCGACCATGCCAACTGCTGAAGGAGGCCCTGGAAATAGCTGAAACGAGTTTACCGTCGAGTTTCTCTGAAGGAGCTCTGAAATGCTACAAATATTGGGTCAGAGGCGAGCTAGCTAATCCTTGCAAGCACCATCCATGACGTGACGACACTCCTGGGACAGCATAGCCGGCTGCTGAACGGAATGATGCCCACATGAGGCGCAGAAACCAAATTTGCAACCCAGCGTGATGTCAAGTGAGTGGGTCCTACGTGCCCCCCCCCCCCCAGAGATGTGCACCTGCTGCTCAAAGGGGGTGCCCACACGACGCCACCCACATCACTTCAACCACCCCCCTTTTCTGGGCGATGGACGTCGGCCCTGCAGATACACCTTCCACCAAAATGTCCGTCCTCATCGAGGGCATGCTGAGAGTTGAAACTGCTACAGATTATTGGAACGTGGGGGCGATGGCCACGGAGCTTCAGACGGGATCGTGGCCCCTCAATTTTTTGCTCACCCTGAAGGGTCTCCAATGTGCCTAGAAGAAATCTCCTCCTAACCCGGTAGCCCATACGCTCGACCTGGGAAACACGGGCAAGGTCCTGGACGTCGATTCACAGCTGAACTGTTCCAGCCCCTGCCGAAGCGTTGGGAGTACAGTCAACCAGTATAGTGAGGATGCGCGATAAGGACGCAAGGGTCTTGGACGCCCATTTCGAAGCTTTTCGAGCGGGGCGCGGCCAGCGAAAGCGGCGAAGGATGGACCGAGGAGGCAAGGATGCAAGGGTACCCTTGGGAAGGCTGCCCATCCTAACTGTCATGGTTGGCTGTAGAATTCCTTAACATGATGCAGGCTGGGTTTTGCCCGTCATCGTGCCTAACTTCTCGACGCGGGGAAGGGCAGGGGGGAGGAGGATGAAGGGGCCCTGGGACACACAAATAAATACACACAGATAACAAGATTCCCCATGTTTCCCCATGATTTCTGGGCTCCTGTCTTCCCCCCACTTCCCATAATTGCTCAGATTCTCCCATATTTTCTGGGGAGTCGACGATCAGTTGTGTCTGTGTGTCTTTTCTCCTCCCGAGAGGAACGGGAGACGAAAAAAACGCTAGGAGGAGGAGGAGCGCCACCGTCCCGGGAGCCCAAAGGCGCGGCGCGCCGGCCACGTGGGGATTCGAGGAGGCACGCGAGGAGCCCTCTTGGGCCCGAAACGACGATTCCTATGGTTTTTGTCGGCGAGTCCAGCGCGACGGGGGCCTCCTAGGAGGCCCCAACAAGCGAAAACGAAGAAAGTGTGGCGGTCCTCGTCCTCTTCGGGGCCCCCAAACGGTGGTGACCACACCGTGTGGTGAGTCGGTGGGGATTCGGGGTCACCGCACGGTTGGGACTCGGGTCGTTCTCCGAGGACGTCTCGGGCGACTGGGGCATCCGAGGTCCCAAAACCGTGCGTTTGACGGACCGTGCGGCGAGGTCTTGAGGGATTTCGAGGTCACCCCACGGTCTGTCACCGCACCGTTTCGGGACTCCAAAACGACGCCCCAAGACAGCTCCAAGACAGCCCAAGCGCCACCTTCGACGGCCCGAGTTTGCATTCCCGGCGGCCCCAGCAGCGCCCAGGTCGCTCTCGAAGGCTCCCAGCGGGCTCCTGGACGGGCCTCGACGGGAGTCCATCGACGATTCCTGTGGTTCTTGTCGGTGATTTCCATGTTTTCTCTTTTCTTGTTTCCCGCACGCCCGAGACGTCCCAGGAATCCTCTTCCGGTCCTCAGAGACGACGATCGGGTCGGATAGCCCGGGGGAGAGCAATGCATGTATTCAGGTGCGCCGATGATCTGTGTCTTCGACAAGGCTCCCGGGCGAAAACGTGCAACGCCCGCCCCTGGGCTGTTCGCCCCTATCGTCGCCGCCGATTGGGTCCCGGAAGCGCTCGAGCCACCTCAGAGACAGCTGGGGATCCAGCTGATGCGCGCTGGGGCCGTTAGACCTGGCCCGGCACAGAAACGGAAAGAGCGCTGCAGCAACAGAAACCGAAATGACTCACACCACCGCTCGTACCGGGAACCTTGGCGTTGAGAGCTTGTTACGTCACCCCGCGTTCTTGGGAGCCTTGGGGTTCAGAGATGGTTGCGTTGCCGCCCGTTCCTGAGCCTTGGCTGGGCCTCGGTGTCAGGAACTTGTTACGTCACCGCTCTCTGCTGGGAGCATTGGTCTTATCAGCTTTTTGACGTCACCGTTCGCTCTTGGAAGCCTTGGTGTAAAGAGCTTTTTGCGTTACCGATCCCTCTGGGCGTCTCTGGGCCTTCGTGGGAGTCCTATTGGGGCCCTTGTCGGGCCCTCCTGGTGGCCTCTCGGGGCTTCTTGGGGGGCTCTGTGGGCCTCCTGGGAGCGTCTTGGGGCGAAAGGCTAGACTTTCGGGTTCGTGGTCCCCCTCGTGGGGCCGTCTTGGGGCCCTCTTGGGCCGTCTTGGGCGCCTCTTGGGCCGTCTTGGCGCCCTCTTGGGCCTTTTGGAGGGCCTCTTGGGAGCCTCTTGGGCCGTCTTGGGGCGGTCTTGGGGACCTCTTGGACAGTCTGCAACGCCGTGGCAGCCGAAAAGCCGCAAATGCTAAAAATGTATGTCTTCCCATAGAAAATCAATGATTGTGGCCTCCTGGTGGCCTCTTGGGACGCCTCTTGGGGGCCTCTTGGGGCTTCTTGGGGGGCTCTGTGGGCCTCCTGGGAGCGTCTTGGGGCGAAAGGCTAGACTTTTCGGTTTGTGGTCCCCCTCTTGGGGCCTTCTGGGGGCCCTCTTCGGCCGTCTTGGGCGCCGCTTGGGCCGTCTGGGGGCCCTCTTTTTTTTTTCTCTGCGCCGCGGCAATGCGCAGAAGAAATCAGAAAACGGTGCCGGCGCGCGCGCGCTCCCCCCACGCAGACCAGCCTCGGACGAACCGGCAACTGGCTGCTAAGGGGGGCGGCGCAGAGGAGCTCAAGCAACGGCCGGCGAGCGCGTGCGCCCCCGGGCAGACCAGCCTCGGACGAACCGGCAACTGGCTGCCGGGGGCGCTGCGCAGTCGGGGGGGGCTCTCAAGGCTTCTTGGAGTCCCTGCGCAAGGCGGTCGACACTCCCTGGTCGAGCAGTCCGCACTCTGCCGCGGCAAGGGGGGGGGTGACCATCCGAGGGGAGCTCCCACCTGCCGCGCGGGGTGCCGCGCACCCACGGCGGCAGCGCTCGCCCTCTCGGGGCCCCCTCCCTCGCCAGACGGCGAGTGACCCAAACACTTGCATCACACCAAACGTCTGCGAGCGCTGGGTGGCGGCGGGCCAGCACGCGCAGACGGGCTTCAAACACCTGTTCAGCAGCGGCAGAGCGCCCGACTCGACGGGCGTTCAGGGCCGCAAGAAAGGCCCCCATGCAGGAAGCACGACGGAGGAGACCAGCAACATCGTCAAATGCGAGGAGGAGGCAAGAGGGAAACCAATGGAATGAGCGCTCACCTTGATAGACTCGAATATGTCTCCCCATCCATCTCCTGAGAAGTGATTCCAGCTTCGGACAAGAAGAATAATGGCGAAGCGAATCGTTGTCGACTCCGTCGACGGTCTGGCACCCGAATGGACACCCTCTTGGGGCTGAGTGAAATCGAGAGCTCGCGCAAATAGATCCAGCCAGCAAACGAAAGGGAGCCATGCCAACATACATACTCGTTGCTTTGTACACTATTTTTATGTTCTCTTTCAGGATGACGATATGCTCACGGGTGACCTCAGGGCAAAAGTGGTGGGCACGCCGAAGGAGGATGGACTCGATACTCTCACTGGTCTCTAGCTCTCGAAACGCCCGATAGAGTCGATGTTGTAACTTGCTCGAAGAGGAAGGGATGTCAAGGGAGAGCCCGCAATACCACATTTTGACCGACCTCACATATCCCAAGAGGACTTCAGCATGCCACCCACGAAGCCACCTATACGGAATGTGTTCGACATCTGAACGAGAGGCCTCCAGCGAATCCAGAAGCCCAAAGATCCACCCAGATCTCAAGAGATACCGAAGGGCAGTGGCTTTCGCGACCGCGTCGAGCTCCAGGAATTCAGTGGCGAATCCGATGCGGGTAAGTTTCGTGGCGACGTTGTAGGAGATGGCGTTCCTGGGCCCCGAGGTGAGGAGGAGCACTCCGTTGCGGTAGGCGGACACCAGCTCCTGGGAGGGCGGGTAGAGCTGAAGTCTGAACAGGAGCTTGCTAACACACATGACCTGAAAGGCAGCCGCGGACTGAGCAATTCCCAATCCCAATGCACGCGCCCGGTGAATCCTCGCAACAAAGCTGGGGAGGATGGGGGACCATACCTGCGCGGCGCCCTCGGGGCCGATCGGGAAGCCAAGGTAGGCGGCGGAGAGGGAGACCTGAATGAGGTTGTAGGGCGCGCCAAAGGAGCGGAGGAGGGAGCGGATGGGTGATGCGTCCATAGTCCCGCAGACGACCACCTGGCACTTCCGAAAGTTCAGCCGAAGGTTGGCAACCGCCGCCAGTGCTTCCAAGCTGTCAAGAAGCGCTTTGAGTGATGAGGAGATTCGCTCAACTCCAAAACCGAAGTCATCGGCATATGCAAGAGACAGCCCCAGCGCTGAGCCGAGGGACGCCCTAATCCATGCCAACAGAGGGTTCACGGCGAGAACGAAGAGGAACATGGAGGCGGGGCAGCCTTGTTTGACCCCAGACGCGATACGAATACGCCCGCGACGACGACCACGAAGTGAGAGGATAGCGGTGTTATCGGAGTACATCATTCGGAAGAAGTGGACGAGCGGGGAAGGAATGCCCATGGCCTCAAGCACGAAGAAAAGCCACTCCTGCGCCAGGCTAGGAAACGCTGACGCGAAGCCAGTCAACAGTAAAGCCGCGTCTGAAGATGCCGATGTATTTCTCCACCCCCCAAGCCTCCGCCCTCGCCACGTTCTCAATCATGTCCCTCCCGCTGACGCACTTCTGTTCCTCCCCTATCAGGCTAGCAGAAGCCGCGGCAATGGGCATGGCGCAGGCGGCGGCTAGGATCTTAACATCCGTGTTGCCCAGGCAGATGGGTCTGGTGGCAGCCGCCTGTCGGTGCAGCGGGTGGCCTGGGCAGTCATCCTGCAGGGCACCTTTAGGAAGAAATACAAGCAAGCTGCAGAGCATGTCAGACGGGAGAGAGGAGATGCGGTCATCGAAGAGGGTGAGGTAGCACGAGTATAAAATACGAGCCGCACACGGTTGCTTCCACACGGAATACGGCAGTCCATCAGGACTAGGGGTGCTGCGCCCACGAGTCCGAACCATCTCAAACCATACAGCATAGGGAAGGCACCAGTCGACCGAAAGCGGGGCCTGTACGGTGCGAATATGGGTGGCAATCGAATTCCACGGGGAGCGATCGACGGTGGGGGCGGAAAACTGCTGCTCCCAGAAGGCCCCGAGAGTAACGGCGGCCTCCGAGTCGGACGACGCGTGGACTCCGTCCACCGAGATGATATTCCCCAGGACCGTCCACTTCCGAAACTTTTGCCAGAGGAGCCGCCGCCGTCGCAACCGAGCCATCGCCGACCTTTTCACCGATGCATCCGCTGAGCTCCTCCTAATATCGCCTTCCTCCTCCTCCAGAAATTGCCTGTATATGCAGAAGATATGCTGCGATAACCCCTCGAAGTGAATGCACCGATCGAGCTCACCGAAGTGGGTCCGAAGCCGAGGATAACATTCGAGAGCGAGTCGAGTCCCCTCTGGGTCACCACGTATCACCGCACGCATCGCTGAGAGAGCCCAATAGTGCTTCCCCTGTCTCGTGCGGGCAAGCCGACGCCGCAGAGCAAGACGGGCCGATCGGCCAGCTTCAAACATCACAGACTTGGCAAACTCCAAACGGGCCCACTCGTCCCAGGCGGCGGGGATGGTAGCAATCACCTCCTCAAGGGCCTGTCCGAACTCAGGGGTCTCGGCAAGCCATGCGGGGATGCAGGGGCCCCTGGGGTCGGGAGAGTACCTTGTGATAGTAGAACGAACGGGCAGGTGGTCGCTGCCCATCACCGCTTTCAGCTTCCCAACGACAGTGGTGGAGATGGTGAGATCATGGATAAGGGCAGCGGGAAGGGAGGTGCATATCCGATCTAACCGCGAGGTCGAAGCGACGGCGGACCCTTTCTTCCCCCTGCGGGTGTCGGCGGGCTGAAACAGTTCAGTGAAGTGAGGAAGAAGACGGCGAAAGTGTCGTGAGCGCCCAGCGTCGCCGGCAGAGATACCACCCCCGTCCCCGTTGAGCCTCCCCTCCTCCTCCAAGACAAAATTCCAGTCCCCCATGAGCAGGATGCGTGCGCCTACGACGGCGCCCTCCCCCAGGCGTAACAGAACGTCGCGTTGCAGCACGCCGAGCACTCCAGCAAAAAGAGGGAATACATCAGAAGTATTCGGGAGATGAAGATTGTATACAATCAGATTCCCATACTCCCCAATCAACGTCGATTTGATCATCCTCCCTGTGACCATAGTAGAATGAGAAACGGAAGAGAAGAGATGCACGAGAGCAGGACTGAGAGCGGTGACAACCCCTCCTTCCCGAGAGGAGTCTTCAAAGAAAGAATATCCGAATCGGAAGCCAGGCAGGCTGTGTTCCAACTCAGCAATATCCCCGATATGTCCATGTGTTTCTTGCACGGTAATGATGTCATTGGCGTTGCAGAGCGATAGGTAACGGTGGTAACGGTCCCGAGCACGCCAGGAGTTCGTCTTCACAGTGGTGAAGAGGGCGCCAGTGTTCCATGTACAGAGGGAAAGGGGGGAGGGGGGGAGGAAGAGGGAGGAGGCGCAAGAGGGGGGGGCCTGAGTTGGAAAACGGTCTGCCTCCGTCTTAAAAGGGCCTACGGAGCGCCACCGCCCCTGCAGCCTCGACGCGCTCGATGTGTTCGACGATTCCAAATTCAAGGAAAACATCTCTGGCGCAGTGGATCTCAATATTCGACTCTCCTGAAACTATCACTTTGACTGCCTGTACGGGCTCGTGGGCCCGCCGTAAAAAGAAAACTGAGCCGCCGAGTCCTGTGCTGCCTACCTCCACTCCTTTCGGTGCAAGGAGGGCAGTGAGCGCAGCTCGGACCCCCCCGAGGGAGAGGAACAGCTGCCGCGAGGTGGGGTTGAGATCACGACGGAGGCGGAGTGAAAGGGGCGGGGCGCCTTCGGCAGGGTCAGGCACACTCCATGCGCCCCCTGCTCTGATGAAATTGTCCAGGAAAGTGCTGGCGCCTAGCGCCGTCTCAAAGAAGAGAGTCACCTTCTTCGAAAGATCAAAGCCGCTGGCAAGAATCCTTGCCTGCTGTGCTTCTGGGGAGAATTGCCTGATGCACGCGTTGCCAATATCACGAAGATCTCTGGTAAGGAGGGGCCTAGGAAAGCCAAGCAGGACCAACTTGCATGTATCCTGCTGCGGCTGGTCGGGCGGGCTCGGGCGCGAGCTGCCCCTGGCACTCGAGGCACTGGAGGACAGGGGGGGGGGGGGGAGGTCGGGGTCGGGGCGGAGAGCGACTCGCACAGCCGAGTCTCTGAGATGCGCTGACGATCGGCCAGGTCGGCCAGTTGTCGCTCTATGCTTTCGCACTTCTCACTAAGCGAGGGGCAGGTCATGGCGGCGTCACCTGTGTTCCCAGCTAAGAGCTCGGTGCGGAGGGCATTCAACTTCGCGTCCTGTACAGAGATGACGTTCTTCAACTCAGTGTCGAGCATCTGGTGCTTGGACTGTACGTCGCGAGCGAGTAGCTTCATCTGATCAGCGAGCTCCCCGCATCGTTTGAAACTTCCCTGCGCGGCACCTCGAAGTTCAGCCAGCTCTGTTGCGTTCTGCGAGACCACCTGGTTCATGCTGGCAATGCTGTAGGCGATCGAGTCGAGCTGGGAGGTGATCCGAGACTGGTCTTCGCCGTCGGAGCGGCGGGCGTCGGGTGTCCTGCTGGCGCTCCTTCTTGGAGCAGATGAAGGCGATGAAGATCGTGCAAAGCCACGCCGCTCAGATCGCCGCTTCCCCATGGCAGCAGTCTGGGCGAGGTGAAGAGCACGGTGGACTGGGAGGGATCTCCGCAAAATGCGGATGGAGAGCACGGGCGCTGAAGCTCGCGCGCCGCGAGGCCTGTCCTCGCAAGAAGGTCGCCCTGAGCCGTCCCTTCGGCAGCGACCAAGCTCGAAGCGCCAGGGAAGCGTTTCGAACTTGAGCCACAATGGCTACGGACCGTCTGGGGGCCCTCTTGGGCCGTTTGGGGGCCTCTTGGGAGCCTCTTGGGCCGTCTTTGGACGGTCTTGGGGGCCTCTTGGGCCGTCGTCAACGCCGTGAAAGGCGAAAAGCTGTATATACTAAAAATAAACGCTTTCCTTTGGAAAATCGAAAATGGTGGCCTCTTGGGGCCCTCTTGGGACGCCCCTTGGGCGCCTCTTGGGGGCCTCTTGGGGGCCTTCTTGGGCGGTCTTGGGCGGTCTTGGGCTCTTCTGGGACGGAAAAAGAGAATTCCGAAAAACATGCAAAAACCTTTAGGAAAACCCCCAAAACGGCCATTAGACGTGTCCCAATGGGTGCGTGCAGAGCACGTCCCAAAGGGTGCGCGTACTACACGTGTCCCAGTGGGTGCGTGCCAGAGCACGTCCCAAAGGGTGCGCGTGTACTATGCCGTACGTGTCCCAATGGGTGCGTGCTGAGCACGTCCCAAAGGGTGCGCGTACTACACGTGTCCCAGTGGGTGCGTGCCAGAGCACGTCCCATAGGGTGCGCGTGTATGGCGTGTAAGCACAATGGGTCAGGATGGTTGGCCCGATGGTTGTTCCGATGATTGTCTCGATGGTCATCCTGATGGTTGTCCCGATGGTCGCTCGCTCGTGGGAGCCTTGCTGTTAAGAGCTTGTCCCGTCACTGTGCGCTCTGGAAGCTTTGGTGACTAGAGTTGCTGACGTCACCGCTCCACCCCCCTTTCCTCGGGATGACAAGGTGGCCCTAGTGAAAGGCTCCGCGCCCAAAACAGCCCCAAGCCCGTCGCAGGCGCGCGTAACCGTTCGCTGTTGGGAACCTTGGTGTGCAGGGCTTTTTGCGTTACCGATCGCTCTTTTACTCGGCGTCTCTGGGCCTTCTTGTGAATCCTTTTGGGCTGATTTGGGGGCTCATTTCGACTGTCTTGGGGCCCTCTTGGGGCGTCGTGGGGCCCTTGTCGGGCGTCTGGGTGCATCTTGGAGGGCTTTGGCCGCCTTGGGGCTCTATTGGGAGTCTCTTGGGGCGGTCTTGGGAGTCTCTTGGAGCACTCTTGGGGCTCTCTTGGGCCGTCTTGGGGCTCTCTTGGGCCGTTTCGAGGCCCTCTTGGGCCGTCTTGGGGCACTCTTGGGCCGTTTTCGCTCGCTTCTGGGG